GGGGTCAGATTCACGCCTTCCTTTCCTTTCCTTTCCTTTCGAGGCTTCGAAAGCCGCCTCAGTGGCCGAACGTGCAGTAGACCGGGAAGCCTGTTTTTAAAACAAGGCGTAAGAAAACTGGTAATGGCTACAAAGAGCGTCCAGGGACGTGTTGGGGAAAGCAAGAATTGGAAAGTCCAGAATTAAAAGGGGGCCACAATCACACAATCCCTTTCAGTTGCTCTCAGTGTCGAAGAGCAGCATGGAAGCTCTCAAATCAGGAGTTTGCTGCTCCCTTCACTGTGTCGAGAACAACTGAGTGGAGGAGATGGAAAAGGGAGGGCGAAGATGCGCGGAAAGGTGAAGTAATAATGTTCGGGGAAGATGAAGTAATAACGTTCAGCCTTGCTCTTTCTAGGCCATGCAGGGGGAACAGAATCCATCCGCGTCCCTCATTGACAGAACCATCAAGATGAGGAAGGAAACAGAAGCACGGAAAGTCCTCCTGGCCTGGGGGTTTCTGAACTTGTCGCTCGCTGGCATGATTTACACTGAAATGTAAGATGGAGACCTTCCCCGAGTACCTTTAACCAAGTTAATCGTATGCATCGGTTGAGATAAACGTTGCGGGTAGCAAAAAATCAGGAGTGGGATAGCCTATTTTCAGGCTGACAGATTACACTGAAAGGCGTCTGCTCGCGTAAGCTGCAAAAGATGGCAGCGTCTTTTCTGACTAATAACTTTTATTAAAAGGCATCGGTCGCAGCTCACAAAAGCGGGTGCCTTTTATTAAAATGTGTTGGTTTGAAAAGATGCTTCTTATAGGCTCCTCCAGAAACAGCTAGAAAATTTCAGCTCAAAACTCTCCTCTTGCCTGGAATTCACTAAGGACTCTTTGCCAAATGCAGGGAGTCCCCAGGCTATGAATGCCCGGGTTACAACGACCCCTGGTTAAGAACAGAGCCTATCGTAGCAAACTTTGAGTTAAATGCACAATAATTTGAGTTAATTTCACAATACTACTTACACAGTATTATACAATAATATTGTTCCGGCTTATATACAAATTCAACTAGGGTCTACCCGCAATTCCCTTCTGACTTTAATACTCTCTCCGCTGTATCAGGGAAAATAATACAAGACGGATTATTAGATGTAAACATGTTCATGAAGTGCTCTTTCACACTGTAAAATGCAGTACAAAAGCTTAGGTGGTGTGATTGAGACTGCTGTGGTGGCGTGGATGGAAGCAGGGTTAGTCTGCAGAAGAGTTCAGTGCAAGACCTGTCACAAACCAGGTTAGGAGGAACAACGTGAGAACCTCTTGTGAGGTGAGGGAGGATCCAATTCCAATTACCGTTGAGTTAGTCTGAGGAAAAATTGTCTTCCCATATATCCACATCATTGGTCAGGGGATGTGAGAATCAGCTGAGCTTTATACAGTATTGTGAAACTCCGAAAAACAAAAGTGCTAATACTAACCTCTGTCTTTCTCTTGTTCTAGGTCTGGAAAACTAATAAGTTCCTATTACAACATTTCATGGTGGATACTGTGGTATATTGGTGAGTACCCTGGAGATACTTTTTTTTTAAAAGCAAGTTGTTAGCCCTCTGTGTTTAACATTTTGCCAGATTTGAGGACTTCTTTTCCATGTCCTTGCCATCCATCTTTATTACATTTGGCCTATGTGGTAACTTTGGGTGCAGACACAGCACCTATAGATTTGTCCTCCCCTCTCCCTTTTCTGGTGAAATTCCCTTTGTGCTAACCTTATTTAGCAATACATTTCCATCCATCACCAACCCCGTCTAAAGCTGATCTTCTTTTATGGCTCACTGTAATTTTGTTTTTTATTCTAGAACTTGCATTTGCATCTTTATTCAGCCTCAATGCCTTATTTGACTTCTGGAGATACTTTAAATACACCATGGCTCCCACCAGCTTGGTTATGAGTCCTGGACAACAGACACTCCTGGGATTGCAGAATGCAGGTAGGTCTGTTTTGCCAATTATTTTAGAGCAGCATTTCTCAACCTTGGCAACTTTAAGATGGGTGGACTTCAACTCCCAGAATCCCCCCCCCAGCCAGGCGGGCTGGGGAATTCGGGGAGTTGAAGTCCACCCATCTTAAAGTTGCCAAGGTTGAGAAACACTGTTTTAAAGAGTAGTAATTCACGTAGAACAGATTTGCAGAGGATGGTTTGCAATGAGACTCCTATGACCCACAGATTATAATTTGGATGATGGGAGTGGGGAATATAATATTGTCCTTAAAAATCATTCTGCTTAAGATGCAAGCAACACTTGTCATCTATTGCCAGCTTTCTTTGCATTCCCAAGAAGGAGAAAAGTTTCTTT